CGCTGGTGCAGCAGGAACTGCTGCTTGTTGCGGAAGCTGAGGTCGCACTCGTGGCACTCGTAGGGCCCTTCCTTGAGGTGGTTGCGCTGGTGGATCATGAAGTTGATCTTGAGCATGAAGCTCTTCCCGCACTCGGGGCAGATGTAGGGTCTCTCCCTCGTCCGGTTCCGCTGCTGGGCGATGGCTGGCTTCATCTCCCCAGAGTCCCTCTCGCAGGTGGAGGGCTTTCTCACGCGGGCGGCCGCCAGGCTCCTGGGCTGCGTTTTGGAGCTGCACTGCGCCTCGCAGCCCAGCCCGGCCTCGTGGCTGGGGAACGCCGGCGGCTCGGTCCTGCCCGAGAACATGGCGCACGGCTCTAGGGTGTCGGGGTCGTCCTCCTCCTCCTCCTCCGTCTTGATCACGATCCCATCGTCTGCAAGGGAAAACCAGAACGGCGTTAGGGTCATCGAGTGGGACGGGGTGGCCTTCTACGCACCTGGGGGCTGCTACAGAAACATCTGCATGGGCTTCTGCAGCTGGGTGCACCTGGGGGCTGGTCTCGCCCATCGTCTGCAAGGGAAAACCAGAACGGCGTTAGGGTCATCGAGTGGGACGGGGTGGCCTTCTACGCACCTGGGGGCTGCTACAGAAACATCTGCATGGGCTTCTGCAGCTCGTTGCACCTGGGGGCTGCTACAGAAACATCTGCATGGGCTTCTGCAGCTGGTTGCACCTGCATGTTGCTCTGCCCCACCGCCCCGACGCGAGCTGTCCCCAGCCTGGAGCCCTGCACCCTGGGACAGGGCACATCCTCTTGCGATGGCAAGGCAAGCCTGCACACCACCCCAACAGGGAGGACAGACAAACCGCCTCCCGGACAGGCTCCTTCAGAGGGTGCACCGAGACCTGCCCGCTAAAAGGTTCTGCAATTCCACGATGCTACGAGACGGGGTGGTGGGGATAAAAGCGCCATCGGTTTGCAAGGACTCAGGCAGCAGAGTGACTTCAGAGCAGCTCCATCTGCTGCCGTTTTGCTGGGCTACAACAACGCTCCCCGCACCCGGCACGGCACCGCTCGACGGAAACACAGCGCCGGGCTGCCGGGCTCCAGCTCCGCTCCCGAGACAACGTGCCCAGCCTGGGACCATCCCCTTCCTTCAGCCTCACTGCGATGGGGCACGGCGAGAGACCCCCCTCCTTCCCAGAGGCAAACAGGGGTGGGATGGACGGTCGCATGCCAGGCTCCCCCCTTGCGTCACTGACGCCAGAGGCGACCCTGTGTTTTTGTTTGGTGAGACTGGCCCTACTGGGGACAAGTGCAGCCAGTGCACCCCGAGGAAAGGCCCGCGGTGGATCCCTCACACGTCACCCCGCGCTGGACTTTGAGCCAGGCCTATGTACTTTTCCAGGAAGAACAGCCACGCTTTCCCAAGAAGAGGCAGCCGATGGGCGCAGGATATATCAAAGCCGCGGCACTCTCCCCTCCGACTGAGGGGTCAGTGGGGAAAACCCACATTCCCAGGTCCGCCTTCCCACCTCCTCACAGCAAGGAGCTTCCCCTACGTGGAGCCAGGGGCTACCACAGCTCAAATGCTGGCTGCCGGCACCCGCGCCCCAGTCAGAGCGTTGCCACAGCTCCTGCTCAGCCCTACCAGCACGGGGCCCCGCGTGTCGGCCAAGGTGCTGGCTCTCAGAGGAGGACAGGCTCCAGCCCCACTGGTGGCTTAACCGGTTTCCTTTAGAAAACCGTGAGGAGACCACAGGATCCATGAGACGGAGTTGAGGAGGACCTCAAGAGCCCAACTCTATCTTTCTTGGTTTGCATTACACCTTCGCAAAGCCGTCAGAAGGCAGGAAACCCACCGTTCCCAACAGCCCATCTCCGCGCTTTCCTATCTCTCGCCCTCAAGGCACATCTGTAGGACCTGGACCGTATCTGCCACCCAACCGGTGGACTTCTACACATGAAGCGCCCGGTGCCATCTTCTCCTCTCTGCACTTAACCTCACCGCACCCTTCCCTCCCAGCAGCTCACATGCCACGCACCTCCAGCCACCCTTGTCCCCGTCCTCCAGACCTGCCCTGAGTGACACCCATGCTGGTCAATGTGCAGGACCCCGCATGTTCCTCCAGCAGAGTCTGGTGTGTAAGTGCCGGAGTGGCCTGCGCCATTCCTCCACACAACTAACACCATGGCAGGCGTCCTCGACTGACGTCCTGCCCTCTGCGATGGTGGGATTTTGGCAGCGGGGGCTCACTGGGGCTTTCGTAAAACGCTGCGTGGGACATGGCTTCCCTTAGTCTCTGTGTGTAACAAGGGCTTTTCCCACCCGTGCAGGATGGAGCCACTGCTCGCTCTGCTCCAGAGCAGGTCAGGTGCCCTCAGAGACCATGCTCTGATGTCCACCACATATGTGCTGCCTCCTCCTCCTGGCCTGAGGTCTCACCGCAGCTGCTCTTCAGGTTGCTGCAGGCAGAAACTTTCCTTCTGGTGCTGGTTCTGGGGGGGATTTAACCCTTCTCGCCCATCCAACCCTTTCCCCGCCTTTGCCTGACCCACCACAGCCCTTCCTGGGCCTCCAGCCCCCCGACGTGCCACGTGCCCTGGCGCCACGTGCCAAGCATCTCACCTGTGCAGCTCCCGTGATGAACGATGACTCTCTGGATCTCGTTGAAGTCAGCTACGTATTCGGACGAGTCACCCAGGCTGGTTCCTGGGAGGTCCCTCGGAGGGGAGACGGAGCCGTAGGGGCTCTCGCAGGCTGCCTCCTCGTCCGGGCTCTGGAAGCTCCCCTCCGACTGCCCCGACATCCCGTGCAGCTCAGGGTTTTCGGGGCTGTCTTCAGGAAGAAGCTCCTCCGTTTTGATCACAACCCTTATACCAGCTGCAGCAAAGGGAGATTCCCGCCTGCCGTCATTCCCGGGAGCCAGGACAAAGAAACCGCTCGCAACAATCCCCGCCGGCTCCCCGCGGGCCGGCTCCGACTGCTGATCCTACAGAGGGGCGTCGTTTGCTCGGCCACTTCTGCTCTCCCTTCAGCCCCTGCCCTTCAACCACCCCCGTGACGCTCCTGCCTCTCGCCTGGGACCCTCCGCAGGCACAGGGGACTCCCCCCGCCTGCCCTGGGGGCTCAGCGCCTGCAGCTCAGCACCTCTCTGCCACCCCACGCTCCCCGGCCGCAGCATTGCGTCAGCAGCTCCCTGCGGGCAGGAGATGATTTTCCTCATCCTGTTGGCCTTGACTTAACTTCAAGATCCTCGTGACCAAGAGCACGGGCAGGGGGTCGGAGCGACCCCACGTCTGCAGCCTGGGGCCAGAGACCAGCAGCGGAGCTGACACCACCTCTTCTATCACACCTCCTTATCAGCCCCCCCTTATCTCAGAGTGGGACTCGCTATAGGACTCGGGATCCCTGGTACCCTGCTCCCAACCCAGCTCTGCCCTTGGAGAAACCCCTCAGCACCCTGGGTCCCTGTGAGCAGGATGGGAGCAGGCTTCCCTTCCTTGGACGGATGCTCCAGGGATAAATCCAGGCACCATTCACACAAGCAGAGGGGGTGGAGAGGATTTTTTGAGAAGGCTACGGCTCCCTCGGGTGGATGGGTCTTCCCAATGGGACCCAATTCTCCTTTCTCGCCTGAGGACCTGGCCTGGTTGCAGATGTTTCCCTTGCTGATGGCTCCTAGTGCCCAACTCTCTGGGCTCCGCCTGCCCTCGCTTCTGTGTTGAGCCATACCTGGACACCAAATCTCCCATCAGCCAAACCTTCCCCGCTCGTGTGCAAGGCTCCTCCTGACAACCTCCTCGGGCACGGCTCTCAGCAACGCTTGCTTTAGCCTCGGGGTGAGCACCTCCTCTGAACGCAGCCTACGGCTCCCCCTCACGCTAAGCTGCCATCTCACCTGCGGTGGCATCGGTAATGATCTCGCTCTCCTCCAAGTCCTGCTCATTCCTGACCCGCGACTCCTCTCCTTGCTCGATCTGAGACAAAACACCAGGTTTGGAAATTGCATAGTCTGTAGAGAGACAGAAGGAGGGAGGGAGGCATCACTGCACGGGGAACCCGAACATCGGCTTCCACCTCTCCCCAGCGCCCGGGGCCGGGACACGCGAAGACGCTCAGGGACATCCACAACGCCTCTGCAGGCAGAAAAGCCTGGTGCCGCGGGCAGGCCAGGCTCCTTGGATGGGCAGAAGAGATTCATGGAGGCAGGAGCTGAGGTGCCACACACAGAGGAACTGCCTTCGAGAAGAAACCCAACCCGTACGTTTTTCTGGCAGGGTTTTAGAGCTCCTCAGGCAAATTCCTGGCTCTCCTGAAGCCAGAAGCATTTCACCTCTGGC